TAGCTGAGCCTGTATTATATAAATGTCCTGTATAGGGGGAAGCTTACGTGAAAAATAACTGAATATTTGCCTCTTACCCTCAAAACCTCTGGCTCATTAAAATGTATTTCTTTCATGATGTAAAGTTTCATCAGCAACAGGCGAGTGCCCCATATTGGAATGCCTCTGCTTTGGGCACGTCTATACATCAAAGGGATCAGTTGGATTGTAACAGAAAGATGTCTCGATTGTCCTTAGGCCTCCACCCTTTTTTCAGACTCGTCTGAACATGTTATAGCCAGAAAAGTTGTTTAAATCAGAGAGAGACAATTGTTTCCATTTCCCTTTTCTGGAACAGGTCTTAAGAAATGCCATTTCCATGGAATAAGAATAGTGATATATCTTGATGAAACTTTGCTCAGTGCATGGGACTTTGGGTCCAGTTTGTCTGCAAACAGTTAAAGAAGTATTTCACTGCTGAAAAGATGGTCTATTCACAAAACAGGGCTGTCTATGCAGTAGAAAGATGTAAATACTTTAAAAAGAACTGGTGCTACGTGACCAGAGTTAAAGGGCTATGGCATTTGCTTTTGCTCAAGAGGTAGAAAACCTACAGCTACCAGAATGCAATGCTGGATCAGAGATCTGCCGAATTACACGTTTCTTGTATGATACAAAACATGTCATTTGGCGAATATTCGAATGAGCAGGTACATCTGGGCACTCGCAAGATGGAGGGGAGTTTGACATAGGTTAATTACACATACTACCCACATTACTATGATACAAAGCTGTTAAAAAATGGCAAAGTATTCCTTTAAAGACCCTGCACAAATATCAAAGCAGCATCTACCTGCAGTCTTCTTTACCATACACTCAGTTCGAGTCTTTATACGTTAGGGTTTTGCAGTGACCCTTCCCAGGCTCTGATATTCTGTGCACACCATGGAGAGCAACCGACCTTGATGTCTTCCATGTGAACACAAACACTATACAAATGTAAAAGTTTGGATGATCTCCCAGCCACCCCTCTCAATCTTTAGATCATTTTCAGACCCAATGCCACACAGCTGGAGTCTTGATCAAAGGATAAAATCCATCTCTACTGGCTGTCCTCCTCAGTCTGCACAAACAGGTCAAGTCAGCTCATGCTCCTTGTTTTACACCAAGAATAACTCACTTCCTGACCATAAACCCATCACAAATCTACTGTCAGGTCGTAATTTATATGGAAGCCTCTCAATTTGAAGCAGACCCACATTTCTCCAATTTCACCACTCCTCAGATTGGCAGAGGTCAGGTGTTTCAGAAGGGGAAAGCAGCTGCACCTCTGCGATCAGTCATTGGGGAACCCCTTTTGGCCTTTCGGTTTTGCTCCTTATTGGACAACAAGGTAATTGCTGTGAAAATATGTGTAAAATGACTGAAGCATTCTCAGTCCGGGCAGCAGCAGCAGAACGGCACTACTCAAACGGAAAATAAACTTGATGTATGTAAACAGGAAAGAGAGAAAAAATGCTCCTGAAAACCATCTCTGGAAAAGAGACATAGCTGCAAAATATGTCTGGGTTGTTTCACAAGACAACCTCCGCAATTAAGCATGTGAACAATATTTTCCATTCTCAAAAATATTCTCTTTGGTCAGTGGAAGTTGTTGTGCACTACACAACACTTTATAGGTGGAAAATCACCCCTGGAAAGCCAAAACCTGTAAGGTCACGATGAGGACAAGGATGCCTTACTCAGCTATCTTTGGCTCTCTTAATCCTAAGGAATATTCTCTTCATCTCTGTCTTTAACCAAACATCAGTCCATGAAAATATGACAAATGAGAGGATTTGTTTGTGTGAGATTTACTAAAACAGCAACACTGTTGCTGTGTTGTCACCATGTACACAACAATATGTGTTGTCAAGAACTGAAGAAGACTCCAAGAAACCTCACCCTACATGTGGTCTAATTTCCTGATGAATGAGTGTGTTGTCCTGGTTGTCTGTGTTGGTGTTAGTCTTGGTGGATATCGTTTGCACAAGTGAGTCATGTCGAGCAATCCGCAGATGGTTGGGTTACCTTTAAGCACAAAGCCTATGAATAAGTGCAAGTCTATTTGTCTGTGTGCATGCACGTGTCCATCCATTTTTCTGTTTAAATGTGACTGGATTATAGCAGGGTTTCTCCAGGCACAGCTCCTGTACCACCTATTGTTTTGTGCTTCCCCCTCTTATCATTCAAGTTGAAGGCCAGAACAAAGGTAGAGGATACTGTGGCTGCTCATGTGCATGCTCCTGCATCTGTGTGTGTGCACATTACGCGTGGGTGGAGGCTGCGTGAAGGAGGAGGTGTTGTCGGGAACAGAAGCATTTTGCAGATGTTGCAGGGAAGAAGGAGTGAATGGAAAGTTCTGCGGTTATCAGTCGTACAGCTCTCTCTGACTCGCAAAGGTATGCCACATGTGGCCCCATCTGAATTCAGTCTTAGTTTTAGATTTGTTAAGTCTGATGGCTTAAGCATTGAAAAGTTTGGAGGATGCAAAGTGACAGAGAGGTGTAGAAGGTGAGAGAAAAGATCAAGAGGAAAGGTAGAGGGAGAAAAAGAGGATGAAAAACATGTTTACTAGTGGAGTTTGGGGTTGACGTCGTAGTCTAAGGTTTCCCTCTTGGAGTGTCTCCCAGAGCGGAGGCGGGTGAGATTCCCTCTTGGTTCCCCTAGACGTAACATGAGGAACGCTCATCTCTGTTTGTCTCTGTCTCTCTCACTTTCTCTGACCTTCTCCCTGTCTCTGCTCACTCTAATTGCCCTTCCATGCTCCCAGCCACTTCACGGCATTACGTGTGCATCATTCTTTGAGCATCTCAATCAGCTGCCACATGCACAATATCATAGCCGTGCCCCATGGCAGTCCTATAGGATCCAGCTTCTATTCCACATCAGCTCCATTACAGCGAGGCACACTTCTCCATATGCAACTCTGATTTCCCCCAGTTCAAATAGAAAGCCCTTATCTGATCTGTTCACCGTCTGTTTTTCTCCTTCCCTGAGTTTTCATATGGCCATTTTGAAAAGAGATATCTACTGATGTTCACTCCCTGAATAATAAAGCTGACCACCCGCCCCCACTACCACGGCTCAACAATAATAAGCCAACCATAACTGGGATCCTTTATTCTTTCACTTGCTGCATGATGTGAAAAACATAATGCTTCGGTAAAAAAAGGTTTTACATCTTCCAGAGCTGCTGGACTTCTGCTATCAGTTATTTGGAAACTGACTCTGATTATCTTATCTGATGGCTTCCTGTCCCAGAAGCAAAGTGTCCCAGCAGCGGCAAAGACCAGCTGCCTACCCCAGCTAGCATACAGTAGCAGCAGTGCCACAGTGCCCATGCTATTGCCTCACATGGTGTGCCACTGACACAAAGACTGTTCTGTGTCACTTCTATTGCTGACAGCCCTAATGAGTCATCAGTTCTGAAAAAAAAGGAGAAAAAATGGCACTGTGGTCGGTGCTGATTGCCCTAGCAGAGACCAGAGAGTCTGTTCACTAAGGTGTGGCATGAAATCACAGAGAAAACCCAAAGAATGTGAGCTGAGCTTCTGCAGGCTCCCAACAGCTGCAGCAGCTCACAGGCCTTTTATTGCATGGCAGCGAGGGAAACCTCACCACAACAAGATGGAGATGAGAAGAAAGAGAGAACAAACAAAAGCTGCTGGTTTTTTGTGTGTGTTTTATTTATTTTTATATTTTTCACAAAGCAGATTTAACAATAGGAATGAGAATGGAAGAAAGTATAATCAAGGATAATAAAGGGACAAAAATAGCGATAAGTTTTACTGAAATAGACCCTGGGAAGTCCCAGTCGAAGATCTGAGATTAAAAAGAGAAAAAGGCGTTACTTTCACTGACCTAAGGCTGCAATCAGTGTTTCACCTCATGATATTTTCATATAAAATAGTGAAAAATTACAGATTTCCTAATTCACTTTTCTCTGGCTTACCTAAATCAAATATCAGCAAACTACAACGTGTGCAAAACACTGCTGCTAGGATATTAACCAAAACCAGAAAATGTGATCATATTCCTCCTGTCCTTATTGGCGCCCTGTTCATGATTTCACGATTCTACTTTTAACTTACAAAATATTACAAGGACTTGCACCATCCTACTTATCACCTAGTCACACCTTATACAGCCTACCTGCTACGGCTACAGTCCCAAAATGCCAATGTCATTCTGAAAATAAATAACATCAATAGGTGGTAGGGCCTTTTCTTACCAAACGCCTCTTCTTTGGAATGGTCTTCCTAAACAAATAGCTCAGTTGGACTCGTTCAAAAGTTAAAAAAAAAATGCACATGAGCTGTCTCTCTCTGTAGGTTTTTAGCATATTATGCTGATGCCACGCATCCCTTCTTTGTTTATGTATTGTATCCAAGATCCTTGTGATGGTACATCAACTCACAAGAGGTTGGATGACACCTCCGTCATCGCTTGAGAGTGTCTGTTTCACTTGCACTGGCACTATGCAGTTTCGGGGTTCGGGTAGGAACCCGGACACAAAAAAGACTACAAAATTTGGCTGCTTTATGGCATACGTCATATCCCCCTCCTTGTCAAATCCCCCTTATTATTTGTTCAGCCCTTTGAGGCATGCTTTGTGATATTGAGCTATAATAAACTTTGACTTGACTTGAAATCCCCAAATTACATCTTTCCTTTGTTTTCAAAGACCTGGAGGAGCAGCAAATGCAATTGAAAAGTAGTAAGCAAATACTTTGCATGTTTCCTTGATAAATGGATTTGAATCAGTTGTCACATTTTTTTACTTATTGCTTAATGGACTAACTGTTTCAGCACTGCACCAAACAGAATGCCAAACCCCCTAATACCCACCGCCAAAGCGCACATCTCTCCTTCTTAACTGATATGAGGTTCATCTGCAGATTAGTCACCCTTGATTTGAGGTCCATCTTGTTTGTATAATGAGCCATACTTAATATTGTATTTTATTCTCTTCCCAATAGATGGGCATCATCTGTGGGAGACCGAAGCCAAAGTTGACAAGGACTCTGTCAAAAATGTGAGTACACCTCAGTGAAGTGACTCATTGGCAATGCTCCCGCCGTCTTCAGTCCCACCCTCCCTTGACACTTTCTCCTTTCCTCTCTGTCTCCTCCTCATCTGTCCCCTGTAATGATGTAACCTTTGCTAAGGCATTACAAGTTGCAACATAGACAATGATGATTAGCCCATGCAATCCTGAGTGGAATTTTCACAAAATCTCTGTACCCTCACGGAGTAAACACAGGCTGTCATATTGTTTTTGCCTCTAAACACACACACGGATTACAAAACAGGAGCATAAACACGCACACACACACTCACGGCACAGTCCTCCCAGCATAGCCAGACGTTTAGTTCACAGCAAAGTGTTGTGTGGTGAATTGGACTTAAACACCTCGTCTGTGCTGGAATCATGCAGCCAAGAGTAGATTACGCCCATGCTTTTACCTGCTGCTTTTCATGAGAGCCGTAATGAGAAAATAAACCAGCGCACTCGTTTCACTGACGCTCAGCCACACATTCAGATTGTGTTAATATAAAACGGAGTGAAAGGGAATCGTCGGGAGAGGGAATGAAGCAAATGTTGTTCTACGTGTCACAGAAAGCTAGTGCTCTGGAGTTAATTAAGACTTCACTGAGGTTCGTTAGGTCTGCTTTCAGTGAGGAAAGTTGAGTACAGGATCTGCGAAAACCTGTTTGCTCGTGAGCGATGACAGTATGTTTTGAATTGCCGATGCCTTTCATCAGCAGCGTCTCATCCTCCCTCCCCCACTTCCCCCCTTTTTTTGTGTAAACTAACCGAGGCAATTTACACTTGCACGGGGACTAAAATAAACCACATGCATCTAAATGCTGCAACTTCAGGGTGTTTTTCTCCTTGTTGTTGCTGCTATTTCACTCAGGTAAATGACTTGGTTGCATCAGGAGGGTAAATATGGACTCTGATGTCTAATTGGCCTGTAGGGCTGGCTGATGTGCCGTGGCTGGAGTCCCAGATGCTGGAAAATTAGCGGGCGTGCAAGGCTCGGCCGGGGGCGGCGGTGTGGGGAGGCGAGGTCGATGAAAGACAAATACCACATTGTGTTTATTTGTACATCTAACAAACAAGTAGGGAGAGACAGCAAGAGAGCCCTGGCCTTCCTCTCATGTCAGTTGCTCCCAGACTGCCCTAAAGTGCTCCAGACTGCCTGCCCGACTCTGTTTTTATTGCCATCCAGAGCATGCTAACTTTCATTGGCTAGGATGGAGAGGGAAAAGCCATGTGCACACACAAACACACAGTTAACACACTCAATCAGCCACCTGCATGTTTTCTTTGTCGTCATCTGGAGGGCAGACCGGGGCTGAGGACACAGGCCCCCTCACTTCCAGCACGCCCACATCCCATGGCTCCCTCCCTCCATCCACAGTGATGACCAACAGAAACCTGCTTCCTCTCAACGTGCCCCATTCTGGCCTGTTTAGACCCCACAAGCGTGACAGCAATCCAAGGAATAAGACACAAACACTTCACAAATTCTCTTCCATGTTCCATTTAAGTCGAAAGTTCACCTCCGTTCAGACTTGCCAAGGTCTGGCCTTGGGGCGTAGAGGAGGACAGGCGAGTTTCTCCACAGGGAAGCATGGCTGTGCAAACAAATAAGCCGGCCACCTCTCTCTTCTCTTGGGGATGAAGCTAAAGCCCTGGGGTTTTCCTCAGACACAAACACGGGCACTGGACCAACCTCATGGGCTCCACTACTATGTCTCCACAGTCCAGACGAGCTCATTTAGACCAGTTCCCAGTCCAGCCTCTTGGAAACAGTATCCTAAATGCAGGCCAGCTGTAAAATAAACATTGCTGTTGATTAATACTCTGCAGGAAGTCATGCTACAAACTTAAATTTGGAGAGAGTGCGGTGAAATCAGATGAGTAAATCAAACTAATGATGTTTTGATGGTATCAGCAGCTGCCTTATCTCACTTGTTGAAATATCTAACTGTATCTTATTTGTATATTAGAGTTCTCTTGCTGTGGAGATCCCGCCGTACAGGAACCAGAGAATATCCAGCCCGGTGCAGGTTAACTTCTACGTCTGCAACGGCAAGAGGAAGAGGAGCCAGTACCAACGCTTCACCTACCTGCCTCCTAACGGTAATCATCATAAGTGTTCCCACCTTTTTGTTTTTATCACCAGTGACACTGAAAGACACGTATGCTTTTCACACTCTGCACTCATCACATAGAGTATTTCTCCAGCTCTTGACATCCATCAACTGTAGTTTACAACAGCCGTCAAGCTCACACGTGAAATTTGCAGCCAGTTTTTGGTCCGTGTTTTGGCCTGGCACAGTTCGGCCATGGCCTTTGAGCGAGAGCACAAGATGTGAGGTGTGTTTATTCTGTAGTGAGACCGCGTTCCCCAGCGATGAGGTGTACCTGCTGAGTGACAGAGCCTCCGAGCGCTGTCGATGAAGAGAAGTCAATCCCCCGGCGACCTGACTTTCACACTCCACCTCACACAATTCCCCCCCTACAGTTCACCAACACACTCACACACATGCATCTACTAGGCAGTGCTTTGCCCTGTCATTCATGTAGCAACCTGAAAACCCAGGAATACCTCTCTCTGTGTTTATCATGTGTCCCTGGCCTCAGTGTTTATAGATGGCTTTCACATTGGAATTTGAAGAATGTATTGCTGAGAGTTTAGAGTTCAGCCTCAAAATTACATTGTGAGCTATTGACTCCTCACAATGGGCGCAGGTGAAATATCAGCTTCAGTATCGTTTTCAACCAACCAGCCTGAATAGTGTTTTATCATTGTGTATCCAGAAAAAGTTGACTAAGCATGCTTGCTCTTCTTTCAGCGAAACAATGCTTCCCATTTATAGTGCCAAACTCCTTTGCTGCTGGCTGTTGAGCAGAACTTTTCTGGCACCTGAACAATAGTTGCTGAAGGCGGGTTTCCCACAGACTCCCCACCCCCAACATAGTCCCAGCTGGTTTAGAGATTCCAACCAGCAACCTTCCATTTAAAAGACCCTCGTCCTCCCCGTGATAACCTTTGAGAATCCATTAGATCAAAACAATGATATCATGTTTTCATTGATCAGTGTCTAATGGGTCTAATGCTGCTGGGAGAGCATGCATTGTGTTCTTAAGTCTACAGCTGTTAATAAGATGTGGCATTTAGATTATCAGCAGATGTATTTACGGCCACAGGAGATAAGTGATTGGGAATTTGGATGAGGCTCTGAGAGAAAGGAGAGCAAGGCCCTATTTGGAGATGCCTGATTATATGACGAATGAGAGCACTGTAGGTAACTGGACCAGTGTGGAGCCGACAAACCGTGTCCATATATAGCAGATCCATTTCATATATCGTAGTTCCACAGTGAAGGAGAGTGAGAAGAGAAAGAGAGACGTAGAGGCTTATCAGCCTCCACAATGCATCTCTAAGTCATTTCCCTGAGCATAAACACAGCCCTAATTAAAAGATGACTTGTTGTGTTCTCTCTTTTGCTGCCAAGTAAACCACAAGTACAGTGTGGACCACACAGGCAGGGCCGATGTCTTCTTAAAGGAGCATAATTAACTCACAAGTGTAACAGCCAGAGAGACCGCGAATCACAAGCCATTGAGTTCTATTTTGAGATTTACCACATTTTTAAAGACACACAGTAAAATATACAGCATTTCTAAAAACAAATATTGAGTATTTCAATCAAAGACGTAATCTAGAGTGTGATATTACAACAGCTGAGACAGAACTGCTCTGTGTGCAAAAATAATCTTATTTCAGTAAGGAAACATCCGTGGGCGACCACAAAAAAAGATTTTCTCTGTTGCTGCCTCAAAGCCAGTAAATGCAACTTGCAATATAATTTACACCTGCTATACATTGTCAGTGACATTTGAAGGCTATATGTGAGTTCTATTGCTGTAATTATAAATGTAGATTAAAAATATAAATGCAATGACAAAAATGTATTTGCTCATTGCTTACTGATTAAGAGGCATTCATAAAGAATAGTGTATAAGGTTATAATCAGTGTAAACAGACCCTCTGAGGCAATGATGACTGTAATACATTCATGGTTTCAATACTGCAACAAAGAATGAGGAAATCCTAGTGAAGCTGTTTGCTTTTGAGGGTTTCAGTATGTGTGTGTCAACACTGAGAGAAAACAGCCAACACTGTGGCCAGGTACTCGGGGTGGGCTGGGGAGGAGGACACCCACACACACACTGTTGTCAACACTTTTTTTGCTCGCTTGTATGAAAAGACTCTTCCGGCCCCGCTGTCCCACTTCAAGCACAGTTGTGGCCAGTGACGTTGTTTAGAGAGAACATTTCTTTCACACTCTGGTGTCTGCTCGTCTATAAAAAGGCGAACCCAGCCCTTAAAATAGCTCGACTTGTTTGAAACAGCGGAAGGATGAAGCAAACACTCTGGGACACAGATGCTAGTGAAAACCACCTTTATTTTCCATTCGGGTCATGTGACCATCTTGTTATTCTTTGATGCAAATGCGGTTGGCACCTACTGGGGCTGAACACCGATGGTTGGTTTCACTATGCTGTATGTTCCCCTCAGCTCCAATGAGAATATTATTTCAATACAGACGATATTGTTTCAGACATGTAAGCAGATTCTTATCTTCTCTGGGCCTCGCCCTGCCTCCAACGTGGAATTATAGCATCAGATTCAGTCTGTAGTGAAGTCATATTGTAGCTGCTAGCTGACAGACAAAGATAAGCTTCAGTGATATGAGCAGAGGGGTTCTGTAGACCTGTTGAAATGCTGCCATAATAATGCATTGTGATGTTGAAACAGGATTTGAGCCACTCAGAAACATCCTCTGTGAAATGTGCCATTAGCGCTGTACAATGTGTCAGGGAGCACGTAGGTCAAATGTCTTTATGAACAAAGCAGTCCTTCATTGGGGCTGTAATGAACAACAGAGCCTGAACTTCAGCCTTCCAGACAGTTTTATCAAAAGGTTTAATTCTTAAAACAGTACCTACTGTAGGCAGCATAGGTTGAATGAATAGTTCAACTAAATAATTCTGAGAAAATGTTGTTGAAAATGTTGAGAAAAAAATAAGATAATGCAGGCAGAGGACTGAGTCTCTGCAGATAAATCCTCTGCCACACACTTCTAGTAGGCCGTAAGTGATGATTGAGAGGGATTATATTAGTATGAGTTAAAACATGTTTTTTTTTTTGTTTGTTTGTTTTTATTTTGTTTTTTCAAAAAAAAAATCACCCATACTATACATTAAAGTGCAGTAAAGTTTACGTTAAATTGACCCCACTTACATATAAAACACAGCTTAACAACAAGAACAATTGCGCCTCGTTTCCACTTAAATATGTGAGTGGTGTCCGTTGTTCCGTATATATACAGATGATGCCTCTAGTGTCCAGCGCAAGGAAGTGTATTTCTTTACGGATGGATAGATACCCAATAGAAACTACTTGCAGCCATGAGGGAGAGGCTAATTTTGTCCGTTTTTCGCCATCCAGTACATTACAATGACAGAAACAGGACCTGCCAGGTACGTGTCATGTTTTGTTAAATATTTCATTAAAAAGACATATGAACGGCTGAACGAGTCATAATGATAATATGGCTGTACATAATGTATAACGATATACCACATTAGAAGGATAACGTAACTCAGATTCAAAATGTGTTAAAACTACTATAGATAAACAAGTTGTTTTAATCTTACAAACTCACTTGACAATCAACACAGGCAACTGAATTGAAGGAAATAACCTGTTAGCTAGTTAGCAGCCTATTAGCTAAGCTAGCACACTGTCAAATGATCTGAAATCCACCACAAAAGTTTTTTTTGTTTTTTTTTAACATACTTGAGGTAAAGTTTGCACTGATATATTACAGAGTTTAGCAGGCACATTGGATATCAAAGAGATTGCCAAAGGAATCAATAGTCTTCCCAGTGCCGCGTCTTTGTATACATATGTAAGTTGAAACAAGGCGTTAACAGAGGTAAAAAAAAATGGCTAAATAATAACTGTCAAGCTTCAGAGACAAAACAGTTAATTTTCCACAGTCACCATAATTAGCTTAAGCACTTTTACATTGCATAAATTAGCCTAGCAGCTAGTGGACTTTTACTGCACTCATAGTTTAAGAAATGACATCTATTATTTATACTTTTTATATTCAACTTTGGTTTCCCAACAGAACAGCATGGTTGGATTTCAGCCAGCATGAATCTTGTTTTTTTCAGCCTAACATTTCTGAAACAGAGCAGCTGATGTTGCCATAGCGAGAGCAACAATTTAGCAGAGTAAGATTCCCACCAGGTATGTCGTGTTTCCTGAGTATTTTATCTCGTAACAGCATTGTTTACATACTGCATGTTCTGACTTGCGAACCGTCTTTACTCCAAAATCCACACTGCTGATTTATTCTTGAGAGCAAAATAAATACTCTTCTTTTCTTGGCTTCTTGCCATTATCTGCCTGGTGCTGTTTGATAGTGACAAACATGCCATGGGAATTTCAACATAGAGGTGTATCTTGAAGGCTGAGGATATGGATCAGTGTTTTCACTTTGCCTTGATGATATTGGATTGTTGGTTATGAATCCATACTTTGATCCACGTCAATTGATTTTACACCCCTAATAAAAAGTAGACAACAGTGAAGCCAATTATGTCAAATTTTTGCTGCTCATGAGTTATTGGATATGAGTTACAGCTGCCTTCAGCCAGTAGATCGAGAAGACGTGTGCTGTTGATGTGTACCATCAGCAGTATTTGTGGTTTGCTTGTCTGTGATGTTAAGATGCACACACAGTACAAGTGTCCTTGTCTGGCTCCCGGAATGAGCCCCGCTTTTCCAAGCTCCCTTCCAATCATTCTTGCGTGAGTAGAGACGTGACGTGTCGCTCTTCAAATAAGAAACAGTTCTCACCAACCACATTAAACAACAAACGGCGAAAAAGAGTTCTGGCAATGACCAAAAGCTGGAGCCAAGAACTTCTCGGAACCCCTTTATTTTTACAGGCCGTTTGGAGATTCCTCTGTAATATCAAGTTCTATTCTTAACGCAAACGGGTGCCGACTCCCTCCGCTGCATTGGTTTGTGGTTGGAGCTGGAGAGGGGGAAAGTCAGAAACATGTTCTGTGACACATACAGGAAAAAAGTTAATGAACCACACATTGTTCTTTTTTTGTAAATATTTGCACAGTCATGTTTTTTTCCGAAAATTGAACAAAGACTGAACTGTTTCTGTCATCTTGGGGCTTTGTCAGACTCACCTACAGCACGCTAAAGCCAACAGTATACTGGGTGACCAGATTGTCTACACAGTGGGACACGGTGCACTAGGTACCTTTGAGTTAATGAACTACCACCTGCTCAATGTTAAATGTCACTGCACCGTTAGCACAAGATGAGTTCAGCATTTCTGCAAGGAGACAATCCATGATTTTTTCCTAGTGACATGACAATGTCATATCCCAACCAACAAGCATCGGAAATGAGAATCAGAACCTTTTGCATCCCATAATTCCATTTGCCTGGTGGCTACAAGCAGAGAAGGTCTCCTTTGGAAGGTAATTTCCAAATCTACACAAGCCCTGTTTGCTTGCCCTTCCTAATCAAATACACAGATACAGGCACACATCTATGTCCCGACTCACATTCCCCTTCAGAGGAAACGAGTGCTCAATAAAATACGCAGATCAGGCCTGATCAGTTTAATACGAGCAGACAGAGGGGGAAACTGCCAGAGATGGAGAAAAAAACATGTGCTGAACATCAACTGTCTGTGGGCCATAACCCACAGGTTGGGAGGAAATAGAAGCCAGCTGAAGTTGGGACTCGCCTGGTGAATCTGTTTTCTCAGCTCTCATACAAAGTGGGAAGGAGACACACAGATGGATGGAGCTGGAGGGAGACCTCTGTTTATATCTGTAGCAGCGGAGGGAGAATCTCCGGGAAAAAATGTTTGAAAGTTAAAAGAAAGGCCATTAGTCCAACCTTTGATTTGATTTCCTGTTTCGTCAGTCTTGCTCATAGTCAGAAGCAAATAATGTTGACAAATTACCTCACTGGGAATGAAAACTTTGAACTCTCTGCAATAAAGCAAACTCTTTAAAAATAGACTCTAACTGGATTACAAAGCGGGACTGCAAAGGACAACAGCATCTCATCCCTTCTGAGATACTGCTGATTCACCCTATTTCGTTAAATTAAATTCTCATGTTAGTTTTGGTCACAGGCAGGAAATCTTGTGACTCGGTACGTCAGATTTGTTTAATTTTAGAAAGGGCATCCAGAGAAAGCTCCAGTTGCCAACATTGGGCAAGTTGCCTCTTTCAGGCTTCTTTTTCTTTCTCTAAATTATAACTAAACATGAGGACTGGTAAAGATGAGTGTGCTTTACTTAGTTCAAACTCTTCTGGAATATTTCAAGAACAGCCACAAAACCATGACATTCTAAACAAAAATATGACCTTTTTTGTGATATTTATACAGGACTTTGATGAGGCAAAAGGTCAACATGTGTCTCAGCTCACAGATGACAATGCAGTTCTTGAATTGCGGCAAAAATGTGAAAATGATCACATTTGTTTATGACATTTCCACATGACAGCTTTGGCATTACACATCTCGGCACCATGGCACCGCCCCATCCATTCACAGTAAAGACAAGGCAGGGACGAGATAGAGAATCGCTGAGGGTAGTGGCTGTGGGTACAATGTGAAGCATGTGACTTACTCGTTATTCCCTGGGCTGTGGAGAGGAGGCCCGTGCATCATGGGACTCGCCTTACGATGCTCCCCCAGACACCAAGCCTAGTCCCTGGGCTCCGAAAGCAGACAGGGCTGACGTAAATGTGCTCCCTGCTGCGTTATCACTGCCCTTCATCTCAGCGCCCCAGAGGCTGCAGTACTTGATTAATGTCTTTTCAAATCCAACTCCCGCAAAAAAATAACAGCCTGTTTTTCGTATGACACACTAACGCTTCATACATTTTATTTGCTTTTACTATCGCTCAAAGGTTTGACTGTGTACAAATGCAAACACACAGTTTAGACAGACATCTTATTCATATTGACATCTGTGCTCTCTGAGTAAATGTCACTTGGAGTAAGTTTAGCCAAAAACTCTTAATGGTTGGCATCAAACGCTCACCACACCCATTAACGCATTTTAACAATGTGTAGAAATAGAAACAGTGTGTCCATTGTGACTCAGAAGCCTTTGCTTTGCATCTGGGTATCTTAACACTGCCCTATTAGTTTTGCACTGGCACAGTCTGTGCATATGTACTAATATAATAACTCACCGGTGAGCTTGTTAAAGTGGATCCCTCTCCATCTCTCAACACTGTTCTGTTTTGAAATTTTCAATTAATAGAAAGTTGTTTTCAGTAACTGCTTTTGACAGCGAACAGGAAGCATGTGATACCTGTCCGTCAGAGCTAATCAGGAAGCAGCGCAGACGGTCTGCACTGGATTAGAAATTAGAAGAGAGGAGGCAGGATGATCAAGTGGGGTCACTGCACTCTGCTGCATTAGCTGAGGCCTGAAGCTCCTGAAACCACAGGCACAGCTCTACAGCCTCTTAAGGAGCTCAGGCGGCCTAATCAAAATCAAATCATCTCCATTTTTTTCACTCTCTCCCTCTATCTTTTGGTCCTGGGAGAAACAATTACTTCTAGAGTGTGGAGGAAACCTTGGGGTCCTGGGCTCCTTGAACAGCAGCAGCAGCAGCAAAAGCAGCAGCCCAGTGCTTTAAAGTAGTCTTTTATTGGATATCAGAGCTGGAGGAGAGTCCAAAGAAAATAGGTCTTATTCATTATTAGAGCCAGCTGTGGCTTTCCACACTGATGACTCATCCATTTTTCTTTCCCCCCTATTCTTTTGCTTTTTTTCATGGTGTGGTAAAGAGGGGTGGCGGTTGAGAGGCGTGAGGGTTTCTCTGTTATAGAGCTCAGCCAAGTTGACACCGAGCCCATATCCACTGGTGGTTGTTTGTTTGGATTATGGAGGGTATCGCGGGCCACAATTGTGCCTGCTCACTGCTTTAGTCAGCCTCACTCGTGCACTCACTGTGCCACGTGGATTCCCTGCACGTTTTTTAATATCTCCACCTTTCTTTCTACTTTTTTCCCCCCCCAGTGCCGATAATAAAGACAGAACCCAGTGATGAATATGATTCTCTGGGGACTGCTGGACTGCACATGCATTCAAAGCCCTATTACAGCCAGCCCAGGCTCACTCCCATCATGCCTGTAGCTGATCCCGATGCCTGTCTGGTTGGTGGCTACGCTCCCTGCCCGCCTCGCCATGCTGCCATGCCATCGTCGTCCCCCAGCTCCAGCCCCACCCTGCATGACCTGTCCCCCGTGGCATACAGCAAGTGCCTCCCCAACAGCCCCACCCATGCAGCACCACTAGGCCCCGCGGTGCCCCCCATCCAGGAGACCCCTGGCCGTCCCAGCCTCGCCCACCCAGCATCGCCAGACCACAACACTTCCCTAGGGATGCTTCATTCCCAGGGCAGCCCCAACCACCTCAACAGCCCAGGGCCCCATGGTTACCATCCTATCTATGCCAACAGCAGTCCCTCATCCTCCCCGGTATCCCACCCTTCCACTCCCGGTGCGACTGCGGAGAGCCCGTTTGTTCAGGCCTACAGCCCCAGTCAGGCTCAGGCAGCAGCCAGCTCAGCCCAGACCGGAGGGAGCTCACCCAGCCTGTTACCCGAGGATGCCAGCCCCCCGTCGATGGCCATCACCGTCAAACAGGAGCCCCAGGAACTGGACCAGATGTACCTAGATGATGGTGAGTCACAAGAAACAAGGTGTACATCTAAAGTTTCCATTTGATAACCAATTAGTATAACAGGAGGCATTTTATTTTTCAAGATGAAAGCTTCTCTGTAGGAGCTCTCTGTCTGTGCCAAAAATGGCTGTTCATGTAGCACATCACATTTATTTAACACCTATTGCTTATCTGCAAGCCACCACACATACTGTAGCCGCACCCTGCTGCACCTCTCAGTATTTCCTGATGAAATCCTGGCAGCAGATTTACGTCACGTTTGTTTAATTTTAGACCCCGGCAGATTTATTTGCTTTTTAGCGGTCCGGCTTATGTTGTCCAAGTGGCTGCTTTACTTTAGAACAGTAAATTGCCTTGATGGGATTTTGAAACAATCTGTCAAAACATCAGAGCAGTGAGGTCAGCCGGGGTGCAGGAGAACAAAAACAGTGGCACACGCGTAGCGAAGCAAACTGTTGACACAACGACTAATGAAGGAAGCAAAACAATGGGTAGGGGTTTCCTGAACTGAACCATTCCCCCACTCTCCATCTTTCTGGGAGGGATGCCGGGAGGCGGAAGGCAGAGGCTTTGTTTTCCCGTCTTTTCCCTGCGGAGTCGACACCATGCGGCTGTCGTCATCAGGGGAGGCTGTGGGGTCACTGGTCTCCCTCTGGCAATTAAACCAGTCACACCCAAGGGACCATATGGTCGACTTTATTGCCTCTTGTGTCCATCCAACATCGTGTCTCTTAGGTCACCAACCTGTTATCTGTGTTAACAGAGGCTCCACTTGTTGTTATGATATATACAGTATGCATAGAGCACATCATGGCGCTGTGCCAGTTTGAAATGTTCAAATCCCCCTGCATCCTAATGGAGGAGGGGGGAAGACAAGTCCGTACTGAACTCTGGAATATCACTTTCCTGTGCACCTTTTTGTTCAGTTAACCAACTAGAGCGTGTGTGTGTGTGTGTGTGTGTGTGTGTGTGTGTGCGTGCGCGTTTGTGTGTGCACACTTCAATCAACAGCTCAGGGAGTAGAGGGGTGATAGGCACGAGGGGATCAGGGGAGTTTTGCTGTGGAACTGTAATTGAGTTGAAATGCAGTTGTCAGCATATCTGTCAGTCCTGATGAGTCCCATTAGTCCTCACCTCATAAACAGACAGTACAGAGACGGGGGGTGTCTGTCTGTTATCAGCTCTATAAACTGATTTCCAACTTTTTCTTTCCTGTTTCTTTTCTCTTTCCTTTTTTCCCTTTCTTTTCTTTTCTCTTGCCTCATTTTCTTGACTTCATAGCAATGCTCCGTAAATCTAATTTGAGACAAAACTGCTCATTTGAAATTCTCTCTGACTGTTTTTAATACCTATGGCAGGCAGAAGCTTTCATGTCAGCATTAATTGAATAAAGTGAAACCGTAGCTGTATTTTGCATTTTGTAACGAGGTTGGAAAGGGTCCTTTTACACCAACAGTATGAAGATATACTAAGTGTACATAGCAGTGCTAAGGTGAAATCAGGTAATCTTGTTTCTGTTTCCCACTACTCCATCCACTGTCACTTTAGCAGGCTCAATCTCTCTCAGACCCGATGGCCAAATGTATTCAGCCAGTGATTACAGTTGCATTAGGGACGCACAGGAATGTGTATTGATTGGTCGAGGACAGAGAGGCAGCCCCTCGAAAAACCTCAATGTGCTGCCGTTTTAGCATCACCTAACGTCTGTGCAAGCATCTGTGGTGAGCTCCTGGAGTCCCTGTAAGTGTGTGGTGGTAACAGCATACTCCAAAGGCATCTACTGCTCCCAGGCCCGGCCCTATCCCAAACCCCTCAAATGAGCCCTAAGCTAAAATAAATAAGATCGGAAGGCAGCTCGCAGGGCGTCCCGCTCCCCGTCCGCACGCATTACCGCCGTGTGTTAGCGAGCTGAGCGCTCCATTAGAGAGGGAAGACAAGCGGATGACCTCACCACAGCGGCGGTGATTTAACGCCAGCCATGTAGAGCAGCGTTCCTCCCCAGCAATTGGGGGGCCGGTGATTTGGAGTCTGCGGGAGCACACTTGATCTTCCCCAAGAGTGGAGCGCCTCCCACGCTCGAACGCCGAGGCCTCCGGCTCTCATCAGCCAGAGGAAATGTGTCTCTCTGGCCAGGCCCAGATTTTACGCAGCCCTTGAGAAATCACTCAACTTATCAACGGTGAGCTACTGTACCACAAGGAGCTTTGTTAGTATGGAGGGAGTCTGAGATGTAAACCCCCCTGACTGCCATACACAGTCTCCATTGTAATCTGCTAAACTCTTCCCTCTGCTGTGATAGAAGCTTACTAACTATAGTGTGAGACATGAGGCGAGGATTCTAGTGTCTGCAGTAGGTTTTGTGGGAAGAATCCAGTTGGCAGTTAGATCTACATCGGAGAAGCCATTTTCACTCAGTGGCACGTTGGCTCTCACCTGTTTCAGTCTCACTTCTCATAGCTGGACTAAAGCAGATCAGCATGGTTTAGAGAGGAGGATGAAACACCCATCGCTGCTGGAAGGCTCTGCCTGGATGCGTTGTTGACTCACTCGTAAACCAGGCACGGTGGGGCTCACATAAAACCAAAGTTTCAGACATTTTGTACTTACTCACAGCCCACTATCTGTACTTTACAAGGCGTGTGACTGTGAGCAAAACGCCAGTCAAATGACATCAGTGTATATAACAATAGAATTTATGAAAAACACAGTCTGAAGCGTTTAAGTTTGCCATGTTAGCCGCACTAATTAGGCCAAAAAAAGAAATGCCAAAATGACAGCATACTTTGTCACACGTCTGAAGGAACAGTTCTGGTGACCCTCTTGTTTCAAACAAACCCTAACACACATGTCCATTTACACACAAAAACACACACGTACACTTTTTTTCTTAGACTTGGCTTTTTGAACACAAATGATTTTGGAAAATAACCCACATCACTTTTTGGAAACCCTTCATTTGAACCTCTATTCCGGGTGTTTATAGGTATTTTGCTGCAGATCTGTGTGTCGAGCAGAAGTAGTGTGCTGGCTGGTCTAGGAGGTTTTGCCTTGTGAGGCTGCTGCCGTGTGTCCTGTCTCATTAGCCGCTGCTGTGATGGGTGATATCATGAAGTGCAGCTGAATGCAGCACACAGCAAAGGAACGAGTGCTAATCAGAGGGCCAGATTTCTACCAGCTGCCTCTCTGGGAAACAGAGGGCCCTTATTCCCCAAAATAAGAAAAACACAGAGTGCAATGCAGCCTCTGCTGATTTCTGACATTTGACATATGTGCTCTGATTGCCTCGTGTTACAGGGTAGTTTTCCTTGTGATTGTTTCCTCCTCAATTCAAGGTTGGTGCATTTGAAACTCTACTAGGCTTGTTTTCTCAAAATGAAAACAGAATTGTTGTCGTCCTTCCTTTCCTCCTTTCGCTCCCTCTGGCAACTAAAAAAAAAAAAAGGTATTTTAACCTTCCTGAGGATCTCCGTCCACCACCACTGCTTCTGAAGGCAACTCGAGGCTTTCCTCATGGAAACTTTTACACATCCTGGCAAGTTGCCCAGACCCCAGGACTCTGCAAAACCCCTAATGATGATTGAGAGCGCGTCCGCACCGCGCTGAAAACATGCTGAGTCGCTAACATTGGAGTGTGCCGCAAGGCTGGCTCAGGATTGGAGGGGGGCAGAGGAGAGAGAGGATTTAAGGGGAAGGGGGGAGGTGTTCATTAAAGTGGAGGTTGAAGTGTCTAATGGGACTCACTAAAGCAGAGCTGCTCCTGTATGTTTAGATGGTATGTACTGGTGTGTGTGTGGTGTGTTTGTCTCTTGTAGGTAGTAGAATCAGCGAGATGTGGAAGCACTAGAAGAGGCAGTGACAGCCTGTACTTTCACAGTGCTCCACCTTTGACCCCCTGGCCTTTCGGGAGCAGGTCAAGCTCAAGCTAATAGTGCAGCAAAAGAAAGGCTGCCTTGCGGTTAAGTGCAATGCCAAGAACATAGTCTCCTTCTAGACATAGTGATATTGACGGGTGCGAGGAGAAGGGTGATGGCTTTTTGTATTATTTATGACTACAAAGAGGATGTGGTTTCTTTACTCTTGTTGTCATTGCTTGCGTTCCCATATAAGTGATCCTGCTTTCCTGGCAGCTCTTGACACGGTGAGATATAAGTAAAAGTTTGGGCTTGCAGGAGAAGTTTTATAGACATAGGAAAAATTAATAGGCGGCTGCACTCTAGGACTGGCCTTTAAGAGTCATTGACCGCCTAAGCTATGGATCAACAACTACACTTTTGGGATCAGCAATAGATTTGATTCAATTTCTTCTCATTAGGATGAAAAACCATTACTTACTTTTACTGTGCGAATAGAGCAGCTGTGGCTCTTATTGCCCATTATCAGATATTACAGACCTCACCAAGTGCTTGAAGGAGTGTGCTCAGTTGCAAACATGAAAATCTGTGTTGATCTGTTTGTAATAGATGATATTAATTGGTCAGTTAGCTTAAAAAAAATACTAAAAACGCATGCTTTTTACTTCATCTTACAAACTTGCGACCTGTACTGTAGTTGTATAACATTGGAAAAGAGGAGCGTAGCCAAAATTAGTGGTAAAAAAAGTTTTTATACTCTGTAGCAGCACACAGTTGGAAACTTGCGGAGACTCTTAAAGCAGATAACAGTCTGCTTAAACACTAGTTTGTAATAAAAAGTGTGGAAGTTACAATGGACGCACGGTAATGGAACCCAGAGAATACCATTGTGTCTTTGCAATAGATGAGGAACACCTTCACAGTTGGGTGGAAGTCTTCTGGATTACCTTACCACCCTCTGTTTCCTCTTACAACTCTTTTATCTTTGTCCCATTGGCTGAACATAAGAGCCTTTAGATTCCTGGTTGTGATCAGTTTTTTTTTTTTGCAACACATATTATGAAACCCACTCAATTATAGACACTATTGTCCAAGATTGCTTGCAGTTTAGCAAATAATTAGATCTAAGTGGTTACACATGACAGTGGC